TGAAGATGTCTATTGATTGCTTCCAATCTGTTGGCCATCATTTTGTTTTCCGTATCTGTTGACATATGTTGGTTAGCACTAGAGTTGACTCTGTCAATGTGGATTGCAGCAGTTCAATTGGAATATCATCTGTTCCTGGTGATTTCTTTTTTTGTTATTTCTTTTATTGGAGTTTCCACCCTACTTTTTAGAATTTGGGGTTCATCTCTCATATGGCTGTTCATTCCATGTGTCCTTCATTTTGTCATCTCTTTTGTATAATTCGTCTGTGTATTGCTTCCAACGTCTTTTTATTCCTTTCTGGTCTTGAATTATGTCATTTTTATTGTCATAAATCATCCCAGTCCTTAGTTTGAATTTTCCTTTGATTTCCCAGATCTTGTAAAATAGATGTCTTGTTCTTCCCTTTTTGTTGTTGTCTTCTATTTCTTTGCATTGGTCGTTGTAATTTTCTTTATCTTTCCACACAAGCCGTTGTATTGTTGCATTCATAATTCTTAGTTTGTTCCTATCTCCCTTTTGTTTTTCTTCTCTTCTTTTCTTTATTGCTTGTAGTGTTTTTTTCTGTCATCCATGGTTTTTTCTCTTTCTTTTTGTTTTTTGAAAGTGTCTGTCTGTATTCTTCTTTTATTATGTCCCTGGCTTTAGTCCATAGTTCCTCTGGTTCTCGGTTAGCTTAGTAGTGTGAATCTGTTTCTTATGTTGTCAGTAAATTCTGTTGAGATATTATTTAGATCATCTTTTGGTATAATCACTGATTTTGTTTTCTTCTTGAGTCTTACTCTTATTTGATTTTTGTGTTGACCATCTGGTCATGTCCATGTGTATAGCCTTCTTTCTGGTTGTATGAAAAATGTGTTTGCAATGAATAGATTATTGGCTTCACAAAAATGCATGAGATGCTCACCTGCTTCATTTCTTTTGCCTAGTCAAATTTGCCTATTGTTTTTGATTCTTCTTTGCTTCCAACTTTTGCGTTTCAATCTCCAATTATCAGCTTGACATCTTGTATTGGTGTGCTGTCAATTTCTTCCTGTACTCCTTCATAGAGTCTATCAATTTCTTCCTCTTTTGCCTCTGTGGTTGGTACATATACTTGTATTATGGTGATATTCATAGG